CCTGCTGAAGCATTCTTTGGAGTTGTCTTGCTAATGATAAAGCCACAGAAGAGCTTTCAACACTGGTTAGTCCTTTTAAGATATTCCTTAATTCTAAACCATTAAGCATTTTTTAACAGACTTGTATTTCTATAGGATAGTCTGGGTAGGATTTGAAGCTCACTGCATTTGAGAGGCCTTTGGAATGATCACAAAAAAATAAGTCTGGTACTAGTTCACCTAAACAGGAAAACCCAAATATTTAAAGGTATTATTAATCTACACACTGAAAATCATATCCAGGTCCCTCCCTGTGATAACTTCACCCATCACACTGACCTATGCAAATACATACACATTACCAGAAACGCATTCAGCTGAGATAAATCACACAACTCCAGCAGAGAGGGGATTTTTCATCTAACTTATCTTCAGCACTGAGGATCACCTACCTACACTTTTAGTCAGTGAAGAAAGATGTTCTCATAAACCAACCCGATTTTGGCTACATCTGAGCTGCAGGACTCTGTTGCTCCTAACAGCAAGTGCACATCCTGGCAAACTCTGGACTGTGTGCCAGGTGGAGACTGCAATGTTACTGTTCCCCTCCTCAACACAGCTCCCTGACATATCTGGGGGCGGAGAACAGGCTGGGGAGAGAGTGGGTGTAGAGGTGAGCCACCAGAGGTACCAAACTCTCTGCCTTGTGCTTCAACATGCCAAAGGCTGCTGGTCAGAGACCTGGAGCCAGCAAGCACTCTTTAGGGAATCTGGAATGATCTCCTTCTCTGCATGGCTCTTTCACAGGTTGGATCTTTTTCAAGTTGCCAAGGAGAAAATGTAGGGAATAGTCTTCTTAGTCTGTTAGTCTTTGTGAATATTCCCATCCCACCAAAGATGTCTGTTTTAGTGACACAGTTGAGATTTTACACCATTTTAACAAAGGCTAAAACCCATTTTCATGCAGCATTTTTCTGCAAAGCTTTCAAATAGACATGTTATTATTTTAGACAGCAAATAAAATATGGAAATATTGCTGTTGTGTTAGTAAAATATTGTAAGTACAGGCATAAGTAAGTTGTGTATTCAAGCGACTCAAACTTCTCATTTCAAATGCAGCAAGTTTCTGTCACTTTCAGACTGACTATCTAAGGCAATATAAATAAAATGGGGATTTCCACAACAAAACAGACTATGCTCCATAGAAAATACATTTCCATTGTGCTTATTAGAGACTCCTGCATAACCAAGATATGTATTCCTGCAGACACCTTTGATGCAAATGTTAACCAAAAATATGCTTTAGTTAACACCACAAACATTTACAAGTGTATTTTGAAAAGATACACAGTACAACAGCCCAGTGGGACTAGGTTGGAAACATGATAAAAATTTGCCTGGTGAAAGGTACTAGAAATACCAGTTCATCAATATATGAAATACATTCACATGTACGTGAATGTAACTTTTAAGTGTGACCAATGGAAGAGCTCAGAAGCAGAGAGATCACGTCATTGTTTCCTGCCTGTCAAGAGGAGCTATTTTAGCTAAGTGAAGCTGAGCAAAGAAGAGGAAGTCTAAACCTTCTACAGATTCGGGGCTACAGGAGTATCTCTGAAGAAACTTTGTAGTGCACCAAAGGTCAGTAACAATCCCTTATGCTATGCTAACGAAGTAACTTGGATGTTTATGCATGTTGCTATGATAGACTTCTTTCTTCAGAAGCTGAATGTGGGTGTTAATTCTAGAACTACTGAGGAGATACCTAACTCTTTCAAAGTAACAGCAGCATTCTATAAACAACATTTAAAGCAAAATTATCACCTTTGTAAAAGGATAGTGCCATAAATACTGTTGTTTAGGATCCTAACAAAAAGAAAATTAAAATATGGAATAAAAGCATTGGTAAGTACACTTCACAGGAAAAAATGTTTGCTTTCATTAAACTAAAACCAGGAGATGATCTTGTTCCTTGGTCCCCCTGTGCTTCACTGAATGTCATGTCCTCTTCGGGGAAATATGAGGAAATGTAAGGGACAGACAAGAAAAAAAAAAAAGGGGATTGGGAAGAGAGATACACACACACTCCTTTAAATGGAGTGACTGTTATCTAACTTGGGAGTAACAATCTGGAGGAAAAGATTCAATTCTGGTCTTGTTCTGAAAGTCTTTGCTCTCATACACAGCACCTAGATGGCCTTCACAGTTCACATTAGACATTCAAAAACTCAGCTGTCATTAAAAAAGTGAAAGATTGATAAAACAAGCATCAGAGGAATCATTCAGAACTAACACAGATAGACTTCCAGAAACCAGTGGCTCTGGAGGCTCCTCAACAAGTCTTTTGATCAACACCAGTAAGTGTTCCCATTATGAAAAATGGCAACTAGGGCAAAACCATCCACTCAGAGGCACTCAAAGATCTTCCTGGGAGATACAGCCCTGAACTCCATGCAGACAAGAACTGATGAAAAAGCAGAATATTGACATTCATGTATAAATGCAGATAGGTAATTAAACACTTCTTAAATATCTCAGTATTTTGCACCTACAAAAATGTTACATTTTAGATTCTTGAAAATTAAAATTAGGAGAAATACCTAATTATAACACTGACATGCATTTAAACCCACCAAGTTTGGAAACAGTGTCTTTAACACCTAAATAAAAAAAATACAAACAAAACCTTACAGAAGGTCCATTCTTTGATATATTTCAAAACTGTCACAAACTTGAAATAACCAGCAAACAAGGCATGGAACCACAGGTTTTCTGAGAGAAGCTCACACCAGAGTCATCTTCCTGTCTTCCCATCAACATCAACCTACTGGTTATGTCAGAAACATCACCTGATCAGAAAGAGTTACAGTCACTGCAAGTCCAAAGGAGAGAAGAGCAAAACCAAACCCAAAATCCATGCTGTTTCTTAATACTCAAGTGAATTCTTCTCCCTATCCTGTACATTTCTACTCAATTCACCTGCTCGATCAGCCAGGCTCTCGAGCTAGGTAGCCATGCACTATATAATACAGAATCACTAGCAAGAGAGATAAAAAGAGAACAAAAGAGAAAAAAACCCACAATGTGCAAGGATGGAGGGAGATGTTTTCAGGAATGTTTGGGTAATTGTATGCAACAGTAATGAAAATGGGACAGTAAGCCAGATAATATTTCAACTGTGATACTAGCACGTGCTACAGAATTTTTCTTTTAAGCGTATGCCACCTAACTTTCAATAGCCTCTATCATTCTTTAATTCTTTTATTTTTCTTAGTTTTAGAGCTCTTCACACAATGAGGAATTTTAGAGACATTCATACAGATATCTTCCAAACCTCTTTTGCATTACATGCATAGCTTTTCCATACAACACAAGTTCTGCTATATTTTCTAATGACCTTGTCTGAACAGAAAACAATTTTTGTTTTGTACAGCTACAAAAACCCTTTGAAGATTAGGGTTGGATATTAGTACACATAACTTTGTCATATATCTGTAAACTGGAGAACTGTAAGAAAATCAGATGTCCAAACTTCATAATTGAAGGCAGAATCTAAACTGAAAAAAAATTTAGTAGTTGATGTTCAAGTTTGTTACTCCCTGGATACTCTTCTAAAAGCAGCTGATATTTGCCAGTGTCAAACCAGGATGCTGGATTAATAAACACTGGTTCAATCCCCTATGCCTTCACCTTCCTATACCACTGAAAAAAAGATACCTGGCAACACTATAGAGAAAGCCTAAACCAGATGAGCAGTAACAATAAACCCTTTCTTAATGCATTCTTCATTTCTGGAGATAAAATACACAGGAACTATGCACTCTGCTGCTCTTGAGAACAGTCCTGGTGCCTAACAGATACAGGAGAACGTCCTTGGCTGTTTGTCACAAGTGGGAAGATCAGACAAACAACTCTTTCCTCCTCCTCTTCACAAAGCTGCCACGGGGCTGGGTAAAAGGCCAACCAAGACAAACCCTCCCACACAGTCCTGAAACTGTGACCACGGCAAGTGCCAGGAAAGTGGAGGGGTGGGGGATAACCAAAGCACTCATGAGACACCAGGTAAGGTGTGCCATCCTCAAACGGCTCCAGAGCAAACCAGGGGATAACCTCTTTGAGCTCTCATCACCTGAGCTGCACAATGACACTTTCAGATGGCCAGCTCCTCTGACCAAGAAGCTGAGAGGAGCAACACAACTGTGCTCTGGGGCAGCTGGCTACCAACTTTTCACCCCAACAAATACTGTTCCCATATGGGCTGGTCAGAGACTGAGCTGCTTCCCATCATTTTACTGTTTAAATCTGGAAGTCTATTAATATACTCATCTCATTGTTATGTCAGGTGGTTGGTTCTAATACACCTGGGATGAAATACTGTATTAGAAGGTATGAAGCTACTAAGATAGCTTTTTAGTCTCTTTTTTGAACAACAGCATGCACCTGTTCTTTTGGGAGCTAAATAGTTCTCACACAGATAAAGTGCAAAGTCAATACTTCATTTCGCATATCCAAATGTCACTCCTGTCATGCTCACTTAATTCTTTTCGTAACTAGTTTTAGCAAAAAACTTTTCCACAGGGACAATTTGAAGAAATATTTCCTTTAGAAAACAGCTCTCAGCTCAAATATAACTGTCAATCTAATTATCAGGTACTGAAGCACACTCAAAGTGTCAATCTTGTTTTTGATTCCTCATATAAGAAATCTCTTAAGCAATTACAAATATTTGATTAAAACTAGCTTATAATAGTATTTCTCACAAGTCTGACAGCACATGTACTTCCTTCAGAGCACAATAATGTAATTGCAGTCAGAAAATCAAAAAAGCTAGCACGTTTGCACAGCTAAGCAATACAATCTCAGCTCTAAACACCATCCTAAAACAACCTTCCTGTTTGTCTTTAAAGACAGATTTTATTTGACTAACTTTTCATATTTTATCTACTTTTAGGGTATTTATGGAGTGCAACAACTATTCCTAAGTGCAACTAAACAATGATACCTGAAAACCACCACCCTGAAGAATACAGGATTGCAGCACTGGTCTTCTACAGTTTTGTATTCATAGTGGGATTGCTGGTGAATGCCACTGCACTATGGGTTTTCAGCTGCACTACCAAGAAGAGAACAACTATAACTGTATACATGATGAATGTGGCATTACTCGACCTAGTTTTTATATTTTCCTTGCCTTTCCGGATAATCTACCATGGGAAAGAAACGTGGCCTTTTGGAGACATGTTCTGTCGGATTATCAGTGCTTTCACCATATTTTATCCAGCCATTGCTCTGTGGTTGCTCACCTTTATAAGTGTAGACAGATTCATGGCTATTGTCCAGCCCAAACACGTCAAAGAACTAAAAAACACCAAAAAAGCTCTGCTGGCTTGCACTGGAATCTGGATAATGACCCTGGCAACAACATCCCCATTGCTGTTTTTACGGTCTGATCCAGACAAAGCCTCGAATTTCACCACCTGCACGAAAATGCTTGATATCATCCACTTAAAGGAAGTAAACACATTGAACTTCTGTCGCTTGATTTTTTACTTTTTGATCCCCTTGTTTATCATGATGGGGTGCTACCTAGTCATCATTTACAATTTTATCCATGGCAAGACTTCCAAACTGAAGCCTAAGGCCAAGGAGAGATCCATAAGAATTATAGTTACTCTGATTGCTCAGGTACTCATCTGCTTCGTACCCTTCCACATCTGCTTTGCCTTCCTGATGCTGCAAGAAGAAAATACAGCTTACAGTCCCTGGGCAGCCTTCACCACCTTTCTCATGAATCTCAGTACATGCCTAGACGTTATACTGTACTATATTGTTTCTAAACAATTTCAGGCAAGAGTCATCAGCGTAATCCTTTACCGCAATTACCTTCGGAGTGTGCGCAGGAAAAGTTTTCGAACTGGAAGTGTAAGATCACTCACTAATATCAACAGTGAAATGATATAAAAAGAGGACAAATGTCAGGGGACTTTCATAACAAGTGATTGTTTTCCCAAATTCTAGCATTTTGACTACACAGAGAAATGTTCCATGGCCAGAAGTACCAGGCATATTTGTTGCACTGTAAATAGGAGAGAAGCAGAATAACAACTGCACCTCTTTAGATCTGCTCAACAGCTTTTGTTGTTTCACCTGAAATGAACTAAAACCAGGTGTCAGTGTAAAACTTTCCAATGCTTTTGTCATCTTGAAAGACTGTGAATATTGTCAGACATGAAAAAGTGACTACTAGCATAATAAAGGAAACAACACTGAAGAATTGTGATGCAATACATCTATTCATTTTTTATATTTGCACAACCAAATGCTCCTGAAACTATTGTGTAACCCACACTTCTAAAATTAACTCATTCCCTCAAGATCAATAGCATGACTTAGATGAGGCGTATGTAGGTAAAACTTATATTTAATTTCATTACAAACTTCTCTGATGCAGATTTCTTTGTAACTAGCTACATTCATTCAGCAATCACAGATAAAAATATCACCAAAAGGTGCAACAGTCAAACTGCTCATTTGCTCCCCGTGGGTATGATGTGCACATTTATTACACCCTACTTTTGCATCAACTATCTTTTTACACCTACGAAAATTTGAATTTTTCCAGACACACTAGCAGCCTATGTCCTAGGTACACACTCCAGGTAACAAACAAGGTAACTGCAGGAGCTGCTCAAGCTTTCAACTCCTTTTGAAAACTCACACACGACAAAAAATGTATCTTTATAATGTCAAACACATGCTTTTTCTTCCTTATCAAATCAGCTTTTAGCTACTTTCAACAGACACTCTGGAAAAGTAGAAATAAAAAAGTCTAGCATGGTGTTTAATATTTAAAACCTCACTTCAAGAGCTTTTATTATTACCTCAGAGTGTGTGACACATGGAAACTCAAGTCTGTATGAGGCTAGTCTCACCTGCCAGAAGCTTAACCACACAGGGTCTGCAAGCTCTAAGGTTCTACTGTAACATGCACATCCTTTATTAAGTGCAGAAATCTCATGTATCTGTTGTGCAAAACTGAACCACTAAATACCTAAAAGCTGTGAGAACTTCAGCTACAAGGACTAAATGGACTAACATACTCTAGCACTCAGGTTTTGAAACACACAAAAAATACCAGTATGAAATACATAGAACTGCATATGCATTTAAAAGTGAACATTAAGATACACTTACAGTTCTGCTGCCTTTCTGATTTAAGAAAGAAATCAGCACCAACCTGATTTCACGTTTTCAGAACGACCAAACTGAACAAAACAAAATACAGCAATAATTTGTGTACTGCAATCTCTGTTTCAACCATGCTGATGGGGAAAATGGGACAAACAGAACAGAAACTAAGCATTATATGGATAAATTATAAATTAACCACAGATGATAACTAAGAAATAAATGTTTGAAAATATAATAGTTGTGCCAAGAACCTTTACACTTTAGTTCAAAAGAGGATTAAATTTAAGTGTAACAGCAAGAAAGTTTAAGTCAAAATCTTCACAAAACGATCCCTGGAAACTATATCTAAAATAACCAGTCCATTAGAAGCTACTTACAAACCAGAAGGCAAGCTGTTGATGGTGATGCCAAATATATACTGAGCAGTTTCTACAAGGAGAAGATCAAACAAAGCTGAGAGCATCCAAGTACCCAGCAAAAAGGACTGGAAAGAAAAAGGGTAATTTGAATCAATTTGATAGTTTAAAAATAAGGTTTTAATGTATCTCTAAATAAAAGAACAAACAAAGAAACCACTATACTAGTTCACCTAAGACAAATCCAGCCTTCAACACAATGTAACTCCAGATCTACATGTTTAGATACTGGAGAATGAAGAGTTAGATTTGTTACCAACATTAAATTCTGTGGGTTTGATAACTTTCAACTGATACAGCTGCAAACAGTAACTAGAATAATCCACTGACTGCAAGAATTATCAATATAAATTTAGATCTATGTAAACCAGATTATCTTTAAAACCCTTTCACATACATTTCCATACAAAATGTCAGCAATAAAGCTGCAGTATTCATCCAAAACTACAAGATTCTAAACAGAGCATAAAACAGTATCTGTTAAAACAACCTCAAAACTGGAACTTACTGAAAATTTTCTGCTGCCATATCTTCTTTCAAATATTCTAAAGTTGTAAATGAGCAGACTGCTGCAGAACGTGTCTTTCAAATCAAGACATATTGTTCTTCCACATACAAGTCTCCAAATCTGGAAGGTGAATGATCATCATGTTAATCCTTTCTTCCTTCAAGGAAATTCTTTACAGAATTTGTGCTCAGACTGAGTGCAACGCTGAAGTCAGATTAACAGAAATGAGGTACATTTAAGCTCTCCTTAAATAGAGGAAATACAGAGAGTAGAATGTTATGGAGAGTTCAAGAAGTCTCTTTAAAATGAAAGTATTTTCAATGAAGATGTCTACCTGTTGAAATAGATCTCCTGTTGAAATTAAAACAAATACATTTTTATGTCTGCACATTTACAAATGAAAACGGAAATCACAACCCTAGCAAATTGTAGAATTACAACAAAAGTATTTTTGAAACAACCTTCAGATACCAACTAGTCCAGTGTAACTCTTCTAAGCAGGTCTAATCAGAACAGCTTGCATGGGGCCATGTCAAGTTGAGTCTTAAACACCTCCAAGGATGGAGTTTCCACAACCTTTCTGGGAAACCTGTGCCAGGTTTTGGCCATCCCCATGGTTTCAAACACTAAATTAAATCCTTAGATCTTGGCAGAATTTCCCATGTTCCATCTCAGGTCCACTACTTCTTACACCACCTCAATGCAACTCCAAGCAGAGTCTGGCTCCAGTTTGTCTATAGCTGCTGATCTGCTGCTTTTATAGACAGGAAAAAAGTGTCTCTTCTTTGCCTTCCCTTCTTGAGACTGGACAGACCCAGTTCTCTCAGTCTTTCCTGGAATATCACATGCTCCAGCCCTCTTAATTGTCTTGGTGGATCCACTCCAGTGTGTTCATGTCTTTCTTGTACAGAAGATCCCAGAACTGTGCACTTGTGAGACCACATCTGGAGCACTGTGTCAGCTAGAGGAGTAGGGTCACTTGCCTTGACCTACTACTGTCCACATTCTCACTAATACAGTCCAGGAGATGGCTGGCCTTCTTGGCTGCAAGAACACACTTGACTCCTGTTGTTCATCAAGATCCTTCTCTGCAGAGCTACTTCCCAAGCACTTTCCCCTCCCAACCTGCACTGTTGCAGCATGGGGTTATTCCATCTCAGAAGCAGAAATTCCTGTCATCCCATTTCTTGGGCTTGACAAAGTCTCTCTGAATAGCAGCCCTGCCTTCCGACATATTGGACATTCTCACCAACTCACCCACACACTTGCTTAAAGTGCACATCTTCCAGGTCACTAATAAAGACATTCAATTGTACTGGTCCCAGCACTAACCTCTGAGAGGCCCTCCCCTAGTTAATACCTGCCAAGTAGACTTTCTACAGATGACCATAACTCTGTTGAGAGTCCAGCCAATTTTCCACCCATCTCTTGTCCAGATTATTCAGTACACACCTCAACAATCTGGCTTCAAGGACACAATGGGAGACTGGGTTAAAGGCCCTGCTAATGTCAAGGTATGCAAAATCCACTGACTCCCCCTTGTCCACAGCACCACTTACCTCATGGAAGACCACAACCATTAGGTAAGCTGTCAGAGAATGGCTGAGGTAGAAAAGAACCTCTGGAGGACACCTGGTCTGACATCTTCACTCAAAACAAAGCCAGCTAGACCAGGATGTTAAGTGACCATGCCCAGCCCAGTTTTGACATTACAGACCTGTCAGCCTGACCTCAGTGTCTGGCAAAGTCATGGAGCAGATCATCCCAAGTGCGATCACACAGCACCTGCAGGATGGGCAAGACATCCTCCTGCCTTGTTCCTCTCAGTGTTCTCTTCACCAGACTGGCCTTCCTGTTAGTAAAGATGCTTCTGTCCCACTTGGTCAGGCAGATTCCATTTCTTCCAAATACTACTCATTCCTCAGAGAGGGTCCCACAGGTGCTAAACCCAAACCCAGCTGTGACACCACCAGCTGTGCAACCAATTGTGACCCCCAGGATCTGTTCACTTCACCTTGGCTGGCTGCTCCCAGACCCCTTTGTGTCCTGCACATCTTGAGAAGTAGCTTCTAAAAAGATTTGTTCCATGACCTTCCTAGGGATCAAAGTAAGGCTGAATGGCCTGATGTTAACTGCATCCTCCTTCATGAAGATGAGTTTCCCTTCCTCTACTTACTTGGTGCCTCCACCAATTGTCATGACCATTCAAAGTTGCTAAAGTAAGTCTCACAATTACATTGCCAGCTCCTTACAGTAACCTTCCTTGCCACCCTTCGCTGTCTCCCTAGTTTCCAGCTCAGCTTTGCCTCCCCCTGTTCCCTTTCCTAAGCTACAGCCTGCAAGACATTCTCACCTCCCTTACATTTCTCAAGGTCTTCAGGCCTCACTTGATGCTTCTGCCTCTAACCTCCCCAGCATACCAGGGGACTGAACTAGAAGAAAGAAGTGGGACCTGACTGTTCCAACATGCCCAATGCTAAAACCTAGCCTGACCACCACTCCTCCTGAAGTCCATACTAGCAGGGCTGTTACCTTGCACCTGAATGTTCCTTGACATGCTTAACTGAAGAGCCCTTGCACAGACAATGAAAGACTTCTAGCCTAATTGCTCTTTGCTTCAGCCAGCTTAAAAAAAGACATAGATTTAATATGATGGAGATCTCCATTCTACACACAGCCCCTTCACGGCTCTTGAGGGTTCTCTCTATGGAGACAAAGATCTTTTAGTTTGGAGAGTAAATATTTTGCCTTCCAAATCAAATGTATTCTTCAACTGCTTGCTTTATTTCCTGTGATGCCTTTAAGAAGTGTTAAAATCCAACAACCACAATGTTTGTTCAGCCCCT